GTCACAAGGCATCCTTATCACTTTTATTAATGCAATTACTTATTCCTGAATCAGAAATCATACAAAATACATTATTTCCTTCTAACCACATGATTATTCTTTGCCTTCCTTTTAGCTTAGACAGGCCTGCAGTTAGTGTTAGTTTCTGGTGCCAGGAAATTCCCAGCCTGAATCAGCCTCTAATTCAACATCTTGTTGCAGATACCACCTGCTACAAACACCTCTCTGATGGAAGCAATACAAGACACCTTGCTCCAAGGAAAGATGCTTCCTACCCACTAGCCCTTATGCATTGGCCTGTGTCCTGCAGAATTATGTCATGCTTCAATACAAAGCACTGCCCACTGACTGCATATCCTTGTGACAGAACTCCTACTCTGAGCACACTTAGCTTTTGCTCCACAAAGGGAAGATGCCCTTTCTCTTCTTCTTCTACTTACAACCTGTCCATCATAGCCTTACAATAAAGCTTGCTGACAGTTAAACCACCAAGTCAGAGATCATCCTTGTCCTTCAGATTTTAAGGCCAAAGAAAGTCATACTTCAAAGCCTGGAAGAGCATTTTGAGCCTCCCAATTTCACAGAAGCAATACCACAACACTGGGTGCATTTGGGATGAGCAGCAAGTACAGGCTGGTTATACCCTGAGATCTGGTCCCCTGAGATGCTGACATGACCTTTCCCTCTCCCAAAAGCAGAGGGGTTTGGTCACTGCCCTGCAGCAGCTTTGCACTATCTCTAGGTCATGACTGGGAACTATTTCTGTGTTCACCAGCTACAATGCAGCAAGAGAATGAGAGATCAAGATAAAAATCAGATAGTGCTAGAGACAGCGAGAATAGGTGAAGGCAGGAACCTGATGATAAGGGGAAATAATTTGTTAGAAGGAAGAAGACAGAGAACTATGCACAGCATGCACAGAAATGCAGACTTTTATGGTACATGTGAAAACATAGAATAGATGAAGCTGCCCCAAGAGGCTATGGCAATTTCCCACTCATTGTACCCCACAAAAGGCATTCTTTCTTTCTTTCTTTTCCTTCACAAGAAAATATTTCTTTCTTTGTTTCCCTGGCTATGTCGGTAAATTGCACTAACAGCAATATAAGCATAGTCTGTAGGATTACAAGATGCACCACAAGAATCATAATGGGTTGGAGACAGAACTTTATACTTAACTCCCTGCTTTTTACTGTGTCACTCAAGGACACAGGTTATTTAACTAGGTACCTTGTGTAAGTGAAGAGGAAGCAATTGCTCTGTCATCAGTATTAAAACTGGACACAAAAAACCCACATGGGTCAGATTATTACGCAGCTAATAATCTTTCTGAGAAAATATTTAAGAAAAATCACACAATTTAGCAGTGATCAAACTCTGCAGGATCTGTGGATCAGCTCTGCACAGGAAGCAGACTGAAAAGAGTTAGACACACTTGGACAAATGAAAAGAGATTTAACCTGAAACAGGCTTTAAGCAAAGCTACATAAAGACTAATATAAATCTAAACATTATTCCATCTACACATTTAGGATAAATTTTGATACTTGTTTGATAATATTTGTTTAAGAATGAACTAAGACATCGCTCTCTAGCTACAGCAGGTTTATATGCAATCAGTCATTTGTTGCTTAAGTTGCAGATCTTCCAAAAATAAGGAAAATATTATTAAAAGCTGAAAGAAAATATTTTAGAATTATATTTCAATAAGCTAAGAAAAGATACTCAGGGCCAAATTAATCTCTGTTGCCATCACACTGACCACAACAGAATTACATTTGGAAAGTTTTTCATCAGCTTTGCCAGCCATGTATCTACATCTTACAAAACTAGAAACTAATGCAAAGAGCCACATTTCTGGTGCTATCTGCTGTCCTGCAAGTTCATTTGCTTTCACAGCCACTCAAAAGGAAACTTTGCAGTTCAATTCTGTCACTGCATAGGTCTGACCTGTCAGTAATCAGAAGAGCAACAAAGCTGGTGAAGGATCTAGAGCACAAGTCATATGAGGAACAGCTCAGGGAACCAGAGTTGTTTAGCCAGGAGAAAAGGAGGCTCAGGGGAGATCTTATTACTCGCTACAACTTACTTGAGGGGAAAGTGAAGTGAGGTATGTGTTAGTCTCTTCCCCAAAGTAACAAGTGATAGGACAAGAGGAAATGGCCTCAAATTGCACCAGGGGAGATTTAGATTGGATATTAGGAAAAATTTCTTCACTGAAAGGGTTGTCAAGCATTGGAACAGGATACCCAGGGAAGTGGTTGAGTCACCATCCCTGGAGGTAATAAAAAGTATGCAGATGTGGCGTTTAAGGACATGGTTTAATGGTGGACTTGGCAGTGCTAGGTTTATGGTTGGACTTGATCTTAAGGGTCTTTTCCAATCTAAATGATCCAATCTAAAAGATTCTACGATCCTTACACAGGAGGACATTGCCTCTCTTTTATTAATGAATGAAGATATGATACAGAATCTGTAACAGCCCTGATTCTGTTATAGAACTGCCCTCTTGAGTCAGACCAATGGTCGATTTAGTCCAGTATTATATTTGACAGCAGTGGTGAAGAGAAGACACTCTTCAGGGCATGACCTTAGAAGTGCACTACTTTATGCCCTCTGTTCTCCCAATCTTCCCCAGCATCCAGAACCAGGGATGCTAGTGAGTACATTCATCCTTTATTTTAGTAGATTCCCTTCATGCATGTGTCTTTGTCACATTCTTGTGAACCTGCCTCCATCACACCCTGTGGCAGTAGGGTCCCAAAGTGCTTTCCTTTTCCTGGCTTAAGACTCTCCCCAACTAGCTTCACCCAGTGCCACCTAGTTCTTGTGTTGTGGAACTTACGAGAACCACAGTCTTTCATTTCATATATCCACCACCTTCTAGATTTCCTAAATTTAATCATAAACCTACTCAGACACCTCCCCACAGTCTGGGGAGTCCTAATCTTTGATAGATCATCATATCTTTGATAGATCATCATAGATCTATCTAGATGTCCAAGAGCAACTGCATTTGATCTAAACTACTAAGATCCTTGGTTTGTGGTAAAAAGAAATAAGCAGGAATTACTATTTATTACAGTAAACATATATTCAGGATGAAACCCAGATAGAGAGAAAATAGGCATAAGATTTGGAAGGTAAATAAGATCTCATTGAATCTCTGAAATATTTTTTCTAATAGCAAACAAAAAAAATCCATCACTCCAAATTATGGATTTTCACTAAATGTACCAATATTGAAAGAATTCTTACACTCCTAGGCACAGACAAGATGGATTTTAGCTAAAATAGGAGGTTAGAACATCTTCCATAGAAACACTCAGAAAGCTGTGATCACAAAACAGCCAGTGGGAACTACCATCCCCTGCAGATCCTTTGGGGTTAGATTGCGTACCTTGAACTAAATTATGCTGTCAAAGATGATGATACTCAAATACTAGCCTTGCCCAGGGAGCAATCAAATTGTAATAAAGATCTCTCAGTTATCACCTTGTCATGTTAGGCCTTTGCAATTGGGCCTAACAAGGTATTCAGAACAGCCAGACTCCACTGGGTAACGCAATCACGGTAAAATGTAATGTATAAAGGTCCACTAATTGAAATCACTGGTTAGAAATTGTCAGTGAGATTCAAATATACAGTACAGGAACTAGAAAATAATGAAGTCCACAGCATTTCTAAAATAAGTCACTAATGTCCTTCATGATCTTTGGCAAGATAATCAATAATCTATTTTAGCTTACAACAAACCTTAACAACACTTTCCACATCACAAATTTTTTTTTTTTGAGTAAAATTTTGTTTTGTAAAAGCAAATAAGAAACCAACTGATATTTTTTCCCCTTCCAGATTCCCTGCAAAGCCGAGTGTCTAAAGCAAGTGCATGCACATTTCAGAAGACATCAGACTCCCAGGCTGAATGCTCATCCACCAAATTTTAGTCTGAAAGATATTTGGGAGCAGGGGGAATGATACCAAATGTAAATTCCACTGGGGGTTATATCAGAAGCATGGACAGCACAACATAAATGCAACTCAGTCTTCCTGGATGCTTCATAAGATGTGCTCTCTCAATTTCTGGTCTGAAATCAGGAACTGCTGAGATGTGCTGTTTCTAACTATTTCTTGAGTTACTTGCACTCAGTGTAAACTCCTCATGAGGACTCAGGGCCCCATTCCTGCAAGCTGATGCATGTGAGCCTGCATTTACTCCCATTATCTTCAACAGGGTTTTGCGTGGGTGTAAGCGTTTGCCTGAACAGATCAGTTTGCAAAATCAAAGCCTAAGAGACTGCACTTAAGTGCATTTTCATATCTGTCTTCTTTCCTCCCTGCAGCTGGGCCTTAGTTATCTCTCCCCCTAAAACATCCTGCCTCTTCAACTGAGTCAGTCAGTCAATGCTCACATCCCACATTTCTCTGCACTGAAATCCAGACTTCCATGCTCCCCATCTTTTTACTCAGAAGGCAGTGTTTCACTCACCAGTTTTTTCTTTTCTTCATTACCAGCCACCTCTTTACCCCCATTAAAAGCTCAGCCTTCTCCCCATGCCCAGCAAATCAGCTGAACATCAGCCTCAGCTCATCATAGCCTTCACTCATGAACAAAGCCAAGCCTGAATCACAGCTGACAATTTCACGAACTAGAACAGAGCCATAATATTTGATTCCTCAGACAAGGATCTGACTGTTCAGGGACATATATTTATGGTCAAATTCTATTCTAGAATAAAGTTCTTATGGATCTTTTTTTAAGCTTAAAAAATCTTATTTCTACCAAGCTCTGTAAAATGCATTTCTAAAGAAAAACTCTTTGTGGTTTAACCAGCAAAACTGTCCTAAGCATGGTATAATAACTTGCACTTTGACATTTTATTTCAAGGTGTCACATCCCACTCAGACAAGTGACTTAGATTTGTAAATCTCCAGTGAAATGGAAAACAGTGAGACAAGTCTCAAAGTCCAGGCAAAGATATTTATTAATTTCCCACAATTGGATACACAATAATTGGATAAGTACATAATGAGTTATGGCAAGCAATAGTATGGCAAGGCAAATAGTATGCCTTGCATTGCTTAACAGTAATAAGAGAAAGTGGAAAAAGATGAGAGATGGAAAGGTGGAAGTAGAGATCATCAGCCTGGGTTCCTGCATCAATCCCACCAGCAAGAGTTCAAGGAAGAATCCATCTTCTTCATGTCTTATTCTTCCTTTCTCTCTCACTCCTTGGGGGGGGAAAGTGATTTCCTTGGGGTCCATCCCCCAGGTCAACCCGCATACCTGCTTATCCCATGTATGGGGAGGGGTAAAGTGCTTCATGGGATGATGTCATTAGCATGATCATGTTATTAATTAGCATATTCTGGGGTGTCAACTTTAATATTAATTTCCTGGATAACGGAGAAAAGGTCATTCACTGGGAAGATGACCCCTGAAATACAAGATGCACCAGAGCAGAGCCCTCCTGTCTCCTCAGGGCTCCCTCCTCCAGCCCACCCTGTGCTATCCAGGCAGCCTTATCAGCCCCAAACTCCACATGATCCACCCTGTGACTGTCATTTCACTACTTGTGAGTGTTCGAGGTATTCCTCAGCTCAGAGGGCCTCCACTCCCCCCTCCATCCCTTACCTCTCTCAGGCATTTTTTTTCCTCACACACCTGTTTCTCTCAGGCTCTGTTTTTGGGGATTTACAGGTCATTTCCCACACAAGGCTAAACTTATACTGACTAAAAAACTACTGACACCCATGACACTGAGGATCCTTGACTCTCCATGGTTTCTGAGCCTGGTTTTCACTCTCTTAGTTGCTGTGATAAGTCAGACTGGTTTGTTTCCTGACTCAAAAACACATTGTTGGAAACCAAATATTTAGTGGAAGTTTATTTTTGTTAAATCTTTTGTAAGGGGCTTGGCTAGCCCCAGCTCTGTGATCTACTTCCCAATGAGTCAATGTTTCACCAAAAGGATGTGGTTGGAAGGAACCTCTGGATATCATCTAGAGCAATCCCCCTCCTCCATGGTTTTAAATAGAGCAGGTTGACCAGGATCATGACCATACAGGCTCAGGAGAACTTATTCCAGTGTTGGATTGCCCTTTGAAGAAAAGCTTTTGTATGTTTAAATAAAATTTCCAGTATTTCACATGTGCGCGCGTTGCCTCTTGTCCTTCCTTTCTCTAAGAGGAATCTGGCTCTGACTTCTTTATTCCTCTTCATCAGGGATTATATGTATCAATAATCCCACCTAAAGCTTTCCTGCTCCAGGCTGAGCAGACCCAGACCTCTCAGTCTCTCCACGCAGGACAGATGATGCTCCAGTCTCTTCATCATCTTTGTGGCTCTTCACTGGACTTACATCAGTAGATCAACTTCTCTCATGCTTAGGTGCCCAGCACTGGACCCAGCATTCCAGCTGAGCTTCAGCACTGCCAGTTGAAGGGGAAGGACCACTTCCCTTGACCAGTTGCCATCACAAATAAAGCCTCTCATCATCAGGAGCAAAGCCACATAAATGGCCCTCCCTCTGATCTCAAGATCCTCACCTCTTCTCATGGAGATCCTGAAAACTCAGGTGACTGGTTCTTCTGTACAGTTATTTGCCACTGTATTTACTAGACTAGAGCACTCATTAGGTATTTACCAGTTAATCCTAGATCTTGCTTCAATCCAAAGAAACTACCTTGACATAACAAATTACCCAAGCATGCACAGCAAATCCGGAACTCCATGAGGGAGAGAAAGGCATCACGCTTCCACACTGGTTTCTCCAGCTCCATCCACTATTACTCATGTTCCTGAATGCTCAGCTCTTTGTTTCACAGATGTCATCTGATTTTTCTTCAGGATGAACCTTAAATTCATCATTTTTTTTGGATGGTACATTTCTCAGATTGCCAATTTGAGCTTTTTTGCATTTCTTTATGTTTAGAAAAATCAGAAAGACCCAATACTGTCTGAGACCTCACACTGGGTGCAAGGTCTCCCTTTATCTCCCTAAATTCTATACAAGCTGGAAAGCATAAAACACTCTACAGTCATTGGGTTTTAAACATGAGAGTCTGTTTTATTTTTCACATTGCACTTTAACAAGAGAGCCATCTTTTTTCAGCTTAAAGTCTGTGTTGGTCAGTAAAGGTATTTGCCCAGTTATCCTTAGCAATTACCACTGTTGCAACTCCTAACTACACGTAATACTTACTTGCTGAAATGTAAAGTAAAAAATACCTTTAGCAGTAGATTTATTAAAGAAATGTTCCTTCCCACTTCTATCATACAAAATATTTACCTGGCTTCCCCCTTGTATTTTATAACTAGTCTTTTTCCTGAAGCTTTCTGTAAGTATACATGACAAGGTGTTCATTAACTGCACTGTTCCAGAGCTTTTTCAACAAATCTAAACAAAACACTCGTATTGCTTTTTTTCTGTCTTTGATCCTACAACACTCAAGAGTCACTGGAACTTCAGTAAACCAGTTATCAGTAACAAAATAGATATATTTTGAAGCCCTATAAGCAGCATGTTCTGGCTGCAATTCCCCCTGAGACATGCTCCACCTGTGGCACCTCATCTCCCTTCTGTCCATCTGCTCTCCCCAGGCAGTTGGTCCCCATGCACCTACCACAAAAATTAGAGTTGTTTAGTTATACCATAACTTGGTCCTATATAATGTCTTCCTGTGCCCCAGGTACATATATTATAATTTCCGAGACACATAAGAGGTATAATAAACTCAGTGGCTGAAGCACTTTCAAATGAATGGGATTTAAATGTTAGAGTAGAGGTGGAGACTCTCAATATGTCCAATCCTCTCAGCTTTTGAAAGATGCTAAAGGGATTCTACTGCAGACCCATAGAAGCAGGAATTAGATGTATCTTGTCATACACATTCAGATCTATTTCTCTTCATCTTTCCACCTAACAAACCTATAAAACTAAAAAAAAAAAGATATTGCAGCTTACTACAGCTTAACAAAATTGACAAACTCTGATTTTTCCCATCATTTAATTGGTCTAAGTAGAACAAATTATAATGCACACTTAGTCATTTTTCAGTGCTAATTTTTTTTTCTTCTCCCTTCCCCTCCTGAAACAACAACACAAATTACATGGAAAAATCTGTATTTATTTTTTGTAATTACTTCTGGTCTGAAACCAAGCTTCTAAGTGGAACCAAATTTTTACATTCAAGTTATAACTTCTGAAAAACAAATAATAATGAGAATGCTGACACAATTTTAAGTGGAGTGACATGAATGGCGCCAATATAACATAGTTAAAACGTGTGGGAAATAAAGTATTTTATTCCAGAAGGATATGAAATTCCTAACTCAAAATAAAGTGTATGTCTGGTATTTACTGGTTTTTACCAAACCTAACAATTTTGCAAAACATACAAGGGCTTCAGGGAGTATAGGATTCAATCACAATTCAAAACTTCTTCATCTTGGATACATTTGAGACAGAGGGATTTGGAAGCCACAGGGACAAACTTCTTTCCTTTCTCCAGAAACTCACGTGGGATTTACCCCAAATGAATAATGGTACTAGATAAAATAGTTCAGCAAAAGATCTGCCTAGCAGAAGTGTTCAAAAGCCAACATAAAATCCAAAATGTTATAAACCACTTAAAATTATGAACTGTGTAGTACCTATGCAACATGAGAAACATAACAATATACCAAAAAAGAAGAGAATGGGCGTTTATGCATCCCTCAAGTCAGCAGAGGTAGTTTCAATGCTGACATGAAGTAGAGTCTGAGATGAGCTATTATCATGTTATTCTTTATTAGTTGTTAAGCACTGATGTTGTATTCAGTTCTTCACCAGAGAACACTTGTCTGAATGGATTTACAGTTGCAGGCCCTCTGCCATTTGTTCCAGCCAACTCTTAAGTCCTCTCATACCCCTTATGTCAAGATGGATAAAGAGATCTGCCAACACAAACGCAATGACTGCACAAAAAAACACAATGAAGATATGATACAAGGCTAGAAATACAGAAAGAGTTAATTGCACTTCTAAAAATCACTTACTGTGGGAAATACAGAAAAAGGAAATGTTTAAGAGTGATGTGAATGGGAAGAGATGGATTAGTGAAACAATGGATTAGTCCTCTCTTGAGGACAAGAAAACTGGCACAAAGTTAGAAAACTGCCTAAGACCCTTGCAGAGCTCGACCCAGCATCTTTGATAAGGCAGAAACAGGAAGGAATAGCCATGAAAAACAGGAGGAACAAGAAGGAATGGAAATCGTCTTGTACAGGACAGGTAGCTAGTGTGCCTCTTGGCCAAAGACAGCAAACAAATTAGAAAAAAATAGTGACTTGCATTTGTCAAAAAGTTGCCTCTCTGCCTTTCTTCCTCCCCGCTCTCAGCTGCACAGTCTCACCCTTGGTGCTGACAGGCATTCATCTGAAGAGAGAGGGACCACCTTCACCCCAAAAGAAAACTATTTACTAGTTTCTGCTGGGTTATTTCTCTGCCACATTAGCCACTTGAAGAGAAATGAAGAGAGGAACAGGACTATCTTTTCTGCATCAGTGCGACACTAGAACGGTTTAGCCAGCTTCCTCCCTAGATGCAGCCCCCATCTGCACTCAAAAGCTCTTCGGCTTTGCTGAGGAGCTCCGTGATACAAAAGCATTTTTGTTGGCAGGGAGTTACCTCCCTTGCCTCTTTGATCGATCGATCCATGCTTGAATGGAAACACAGCTGAACTTCAAAATTCTTACTAAATCTCACTGTCTTCTTGGCTTTTTTAGCAGATATCAATGGCTTTTTCATGTGGACTAAAATGTGGGAAATTATTAGGAATGTTCACCCGGGTATGCTGCTAGCAACGTGGGTTTCACTGAGCACTTCATAAATACAAAAGACTGTAGCCTCTTGGTACTAGTTACCAAGTCTCCTGTTGTCAGAAGTTAACTTGGCACCAGCACATTCTAAGCAGGAATGGCCAATTGGTATCTTGGCTGTTAATATATAACATAATGCTGACATCTAGTGGCTGGCTACACTCGTACACGTCTTGGAAGGTCTTGAAGCTATTTGTCTGTGTCCAGGCAATCATTTCTTACCTTTTGGAGACAAGATGCTCTAGATGAAAGTGTCATGTCTCTTCCAGTTGTGCACTATTCAAACGAAGTAAATGCATTCTCGTTCTGCAGAGATCATAAATTAAGTAAAAAGGGATTGTTGTAGATGTTC